ACCCCGCCGGGAAGGAACCCCCCGGTTCCCCCGGAGAACCAACAACTCAGACATAGGGCGGCAAGAGGAAAAAGCCGCCTGAATATAACGTTCTACCGCAGAAGCCTCAAAAAGCAGAGGACAAAAGGGAAAAGACAACCTAAGAACCAGGGCCCAAGCGGATTCCAAAGAGGAAGCCAGGACTGCCTGATGACACACGAAGCGCGCAGCAAAAAACAGCAGCAACGCCTCCCGCAGGATAGGTGCAAAGAGCTTCAACATGGCAGACGACGCCCGAGCAGTTGAGACCAAGGCATCAGACCCCGGAACGGCCCCAAGCGCCTCAACATCCTCCGCAAGCCAATCCGAAGATAGCTCCAGGAGGGAAAAGAAACGCAGGATCGAAGCCAAAAAGCCACGAGCGCGCAAATCCTCCGCCACAAGAGCAGCCGACAGGGAAGGAACCTGCACATGGAGCTGCACCGCACCAACGTCCCGCAGAAGGGCAGGAGCAAAAAGACACTCATTAAGGTGCTCAAAATCGATCCCCAGGTAAACCTGGACCACCGTCAACGCCTCACACCACTCAAACGTGCGGGTTCGACAGAACGAGTCCCAAGCATCCAGCGAAAACAAGGGGCAGTCTGCAAGCCAGGACGACCCCAGAACCTCCTAACGAACCCAGTAAGGACATGAAGATCCAAACCTGAAGGAAGAAGGATCCATTATGGAGGTGTACTCTGGGTCACGCAGGAGGGAAGCTGCCAAGGCCGACCGCACCTCAGACGAAGAGATGCGAGAAGCCGAAAACCTCCGGAAAGATGGAACCGAAGAACCCACAGGGACACGGAACCGAACCCGGGGAGGAGCAGAACCCAAGTCCAAGTCGTACGCAGAGGGGAAAAAGGAAAACCCAAGTCCAAGTCGTACGCAGAGGGGAAAAGGAAAACCCCACTCCTTGCAACAGTAAGCCCCGCTCAGAAGGACGGAAAATCCAGGCGGGGTCCAATGGAGCCCAAGGCCCCCAAGTCAGCTCCTCCCCAACCCCAGGAGCCTCCACACCAGGCCCCGGGGTCGAGCCATCCTCCAAAGCCCCGGCCTCACAAGAAAAAGCCGGGGCAGCCGAAAGCTCCGGAAGAGAAGGGGCCCACTGGTCAGACCCCGGAGCATTGCCAGGAGGAACAGACTCGAATGCCTCCGTATCCCCCCCGGACGGGGCAACCCCCAAAACTGCCCGAGTCTCAGAAACCGCTGAACCCCACCCCGATCCCGAAGCCCTCAGACGCTTAGGGGCCGGAAGCAGGGGAGGGGGGATGGGGGACAGAATGAACCACCGAAGGGGAAGAACAAGGGGGCGCGGACAGAACCAAGGCCGAAGTGACCAACACCCCGAAGTCTGGGTTCCTATACACAAAGCGGGGCAGCCGCAGGGCGTCCGGGGAAGCAAGAACCCGCGCGCGTTGCAATAACCTAAACCTACCATGCAACGCACGAGCTGCCTACACCCGAAGTAACTCATCAGCAGACTGGGTGAATTGAGTCACAAACAAGCAACACAGCTCGCAGGACTCAGGGTCGAATGTGTTACCGACCCAACAGGCAGCATGACGGAGGCAAAAAACAATGAGAGTCACCCTGAGACAAGGGGACAGAGCAACCCTCAAACTCGCACACAGCGAGAGGGGATGCAAGGGTCTCCTCCATCGGACCCAAGAGCCCCCGCGGGATTTCCCAGGGCCCCTAGACTGGGTCTGCTAAGGGTTATCCCAGGCAGGGCACTGCTAACCGGCGCCCCAAACTACCAAGCAATCTGCTAAAAGCTGAACCCACAAGACGTGTCCACTCGCGAGGGTGAAGCAGGGGGTGCCACCACACAAACGACCCTAATATAAAGGGAGGGAAAAACAAGGCAGACCCCCCCACTAGGCAAAAAGAAAAAGAAAAGAAAAACCACACAAGTGGACAATGTACCCAGAGGGAACAGAGCCGGCCGCTGTTATAGGTGAAAACTAGCTACGCAGTACCCTGCGCCCCACCAGTGCAATGACTACCACTTACCCCAAGGTAAACAAGGGAGGAAAACCCCCAAACACTCAGGGCGGCCAAACGCCAAGCAGCGAAAAGCCAACAGAGGCAGACCCAAGGTGACTTGTGGAAGGCAACCCCAAGCCCCAAGGGCGGTACTTACAGGGCACTCGGGGAAGGTGACCCTAAGCACATGCAGCCCGAGTACCTGAGAATACTACTCCCAGCTCACACGACCACCGTAAGAGCAGCACTGAAAACAAGTCACAGCACTGAAATAAGACTGGAGCTGGAGCCACACGACCATGCACGATCCCATCAGCCGAGGAACTGCAGTGTGGATCGCCGGCTCGGGATTCTGGGGCTCCCCCTTTCCCCTCCCGGCGAGGGGAGGGGAAAGGGGATGCTAAGATATTAGGGAAGATAAGAAAAGTAGATGATTGTATGCCCTTCAAGAAGACATGGACAAAATAAGTATATGGAGCACCACTTGGCAAATGGAATTTAATGTGAATAAATGCCATGTTATGGAATGTGGAATTGGAGAACATAGACCCCACACAACCTATAAATTATGTGAGAAATCTTTGAAGAATTCTGACAAAGAAAGAGATCTAGGGGTGGTTCTAGATAGAAAACTGTCACCTGAGGACCACATTAAGAACATTGTGAGAGGAGCCTATGCTACACTTTCTAACTTTAGAATTGCTTTTAAATACATGGGTGGTGAAATACTAAAGAAATTGTTTACGACTTTTGTAAGACCAAAGCTGGAATATGTGGCGGTTGTGTGGTGCCCATATCTTAAGAAGTACATCAACAAACTGGAAAAGGTGCAAAGACATGCCACTAAGTGGCTCCCAGAACTGAAGGATAAGAGTTACGAGGAGAGGTTAGAGGCATTAAATATGCAAAAACTAGAAGATAGAAGAAAAAGAGGCGATATGATCACTTGTACAAAATAGTAACAGGAATTGATAAAATTGATAGGGGAAGAATTCCCGAGACCCGGAACTTCAAGAACAAGAGGTCATAGATTTAAACTAACGAAACAAAGCTGCCAGAGAAGTATAAGCAAATTTACTTTTGTAAACAAAGTGGTAGACGGAACAAATTAGGTGAGAAGGCGGTGGAGGCCAAAACCGTCAGTAATTTCAAAACGTTATATGACAAAGAGTGCTGGGAAGATGGGACACCACGAGCATAGCTCTCATCCTGTAACTAGAGTTAGGTAATTACCGTTTCATCACTCATTGGTCGCTATTCATATTTAAATTAATTCCTTTGTGAAATGTTTTAGGATTCACAATAAATGGCTGTAAATTACTCTTGTTTTATTACACCTCTTCAGACACTGCTTGTCTGGAGTGAAGCCCCCTTGTGCTTCCCTGAAGCTACTACAGTATTTCTGATAGTGTACCATCTACTAAGTTGCATCAGCCGCAGAGTTCTATTGGCCCAACCTGTCCTCTTACAAATTACGGCTGAATTGGCCGTTTGCCCGTATGGCCGAAACTGGACCTAATTTGAAAATGAAAAAAAAATTGAAAATAAATTTTGGATTTTTTTTCCAAAAACAGTAAGTTAAGGGTCCTCTGATAGGTTAGGTGGGCAGAAAATTCTCCTTAAGTTTCAAAACGCCATGAAAAATGTTAATTGAAAGTTTCCTCTCCGAACCTTTCTGAGTAAGTCGGAGGACTGGAACAGAAAACGAGACAGTACATCACTTTTGTGAGCCGATTTCATTTAAAATTAAGGCCAGTTTTGGCCATAGCACGCATATGAGTGAAAAGCAATGTTATTTTTAAGAGAACAGGTTGATTGGCCTACTGGGGGACAAGCGGAGCCTGGTCCTCCCTCACAGAGGCACAGAGAGTGGTGACATTTATTTACTTATACCACAACCCGGGAAGGCAACCAGAAAAGTCAGTGAAACAAAAGAAACAACTGCTGGCTCCAAATGAGACCACAGCCTCGGTAGCTGCCTGGGAAGCCCTAACCTTATCAGGAGGGTCAGAAAGAAGAGGAGAATGGAGAGAGCAATCCCACTGGACTTTTTTTCAAATTTGTTAATTTTTTTCCATTTTCTTTAGAGCAAAAGGTTCATTCAGTGTATGGTCAGGTGTAAGCTGCTCCATGTTTCTTAAAAAAAAAAAAAAAAAAAAAAAAAAATTAACAAATTTGAAAAACGGACAAATATCATAAAGGTTCGTTCAGGGTTTGTCAGGTAGGATGCTCCATTATGACAATCTTAAAGAAAGATTGTTATAATGGAGCATCCTACCTGACAAACCTTGAACGAACCTTTATGACATTTGTCCGTTTTCAAATTTGTTCAATTTTATTTTTCCATTTTTTTTTAAGAAACATGGAGCAGCCTACCTGACAAACACCGAATAAACCTTTTTGACATTTGTTCTTTTTTCAATTTTTTTCATTTTTTTTATTCTACAAATTTTGTTTAATGCTTTGCAACATCACAGCAGTCACCCCTTTACATCCCAACATCATTAGGATCTTTAAACAAAAAAATATTTTATTTGCATTATCAGAGGCGTCCGAGAATGTGCGAGAAGCAGCAGGAACTCACCATGTGGTTTTCTCGTTAATCAAATGAGCGATCGCCAATCAAGACAAATTGTCAGCGATCGGCACGCTCGTTATTCCAAATACAGTACTCGTAAATTGAGGCGCTCGTCGCTCGAGGTTCCACTGTATATACAAATGAACAAAAGTTCCACTGTATATATACATGTTGGGCTTATATCAAGATCCCCCCCCAAAGGTCAAACTACTGACCCCAAGATCCAACCCCACAACAAACTGATTAACTCCTGAGTACCTATTTACTGCTAGGTGAACAGGTGCACTAGGTGCTAAGAAATGTGGCCAACTATTTCTGTCCCACAGAGGAGTTGAATCGGAGTTTCTAATTACGAGTCAAGAATGAACCCAACTGTACTACTGTTACAAAATATGGTAAATAAAACTCAAAAAGCATTTCACATTTATTCTTCTAATACATAACAGTGCTCCAATTAAACAGATTTCCACTTTCTAAAACATGCATTACTTTGTAATCAGTTAATAGACTCAAAATAAGTTGTGTGGGTACTGTACTTGTATTCCTAAATCTCTTAGTGTATAAGATCACAGTAAGCTTAGTGTTTTTTAGTCAAAATGGAACATGAGTGTGTCGGATGAGAATAACCACCTGTACTAAGTAATAATACTATGTGAGAACTTGCTCATAATAACTAGAGCAGCCCATGCAAACTTGTTTTGTAGCACACCACACACATTGCAACTAGTAACATAGGTGTATTAAGGCACAATAATAACCTTATTACGTATACAAAAACCAATAGTTTAAATCCAGTATGTCACAGTATCTTTGATATACTGTAACTAGTATAAAGAATTATCATTATTATAGTGGTATTATCAAGTAAAAATTTCCTTTTTTTAAAAACTAGAGTTGAATGTAATGAAACACCATTTTCTGAGAAGAGCCCCGTCGGCTCCCTTGAGCTATCAGACTGATATTAGCTATATTAGTCTGGGGCTTCTGTCATAAGGAGTTTTATGCCAATCGGGAACCATGAGCTAGAACCTGGTTCCCTCAGAGAGGCGAAGGGAGCAATGGCCTATGAAAACTCTACTCTTTGAGAGTATATTCATGTCTGCCATTGACTGGGGTTAGGTACCCAGAAAGGTAGGCGCCCCAAAACAGATCCCAACTGGTAGAAAATTGCAACCCAAGACCGAATAGAGCCCAAGAACTCCCCCAAAGAAAAACAAGGTAACAAGCAAATCGTCAACAAACCAACGCACCGCTCGTTCGTGCCAACCCCCTCTCCATGAGCCGGCCGCTTGCTCACCAGTTCGGAGACTGAGCAAATGGAAGAAAAACCTGAACCGACCCCCAAGAGGCCAAAGCCAACAAAAACGAATAATTTAGAAAACAATCTTGGACCGAAGGGGCCTTAACAAATCGAGGTGGAGAGAGAAAAGCGAGCACCCGATCTAAAGACCAGGATGGCGCAGGCAGAGCATGAGCAGGCCAGAGGTGGAAAAATGCATGAGAAAGCTTATGGAAGGGAGCCAAAGTGACATCCACCCCAAACGCAAGCTGGAGTGGCTCTGCCAGCGCCGCAAGATGAGAGATGACAGTATTCGGCATAAGATGTCTGTCCTGAATAGCCAGGAAAGGAAAGACAAAACAACACGAACAGAAACAGAAGTCAACCTAGAAAGAGAGAGGAAGTGGCAAAAAGAACACAAGTGACTTTATACTGTCACTGAGAAGACCGCAGGTGTGACACCATTAGAGAAGCCATCTGATCACCATACAATTGGTGATACACACATGTCAAAATGCCCAACGCAAAAAGTGGAAGAGTAGATCGAACCAGTAAGTTACCTCATTGGCCTGATCTGCTGAGAGGCGGAGCCGTGGAAAACGCCCCAAGTTCGGACAACGAGCAAGGAGCGACTGAAACCCTCCCCTGATAGGACTCCAGCCGAACCAGAATCTGAAGCAACAGATGGACTGAGGGAAAGAGGTACAGGCAACCCCACCTAGACCAGTCCTGCTGAAAAGCCTCTACCTCGACAGCTCCGCAGTTGGGGAAGGATGCCACACATACAGGGAGATGTCTCGACCACGCAGATGCGAAGAGGTGCATTTCCGGGAGCAGGAATGTCCAGCAAAGCCAACTGAAGGAGTTGCGTCGACCGTCCGTTCCGTGGAAAGGGAAATAAACCGAGACAGGCCGTCCGCCAGGATGTTGGACACGACCCTGATGTTAACTGCACGGAAAGCTAAACACCGAGAACTCAGCAGAAGATCCACTCTAAGAGACCAGCCCCAAAGAGCCAAGGACCAAAGAGACCCCCCGCAGTTCAGGCAATGAACCAACTGGGCAGTCTCAATGGATTCGGATCGTAGAGCCTCTAGAGTGCTGTGAGCCTGACAGAGCAACGGAGACCACCGTCCCTGGCCAGCTTGGTGAGCACTGGTCACAAAGCCCAAGCTGAGAGACAAGGCGTCTGTGAATACATCGAGCAAGGGGTTCCAAAAGGCGCCAAAGCACTGAACCACGAAAAACTCGAAGAGGAAGCCAGAGACACAGCAACCAACTCAAGGCTCTCCGTGAACCAACCCAGCGATCGGAAGAGAGCGGCAGAAGGGACTGCCCCAAAGGAACCAGAACAGACACTGATGCCAAACCCAACTCAGTGGATAAACCAGCATGGCGAAGTTCAAACTCCCGTATAGCTTCTTGAGCAAATGCCAAGTGATCCGGGACCCCCTCAGGAACAGCCAGAGGCGGGACTGCAGCCGAAGCAACGCCACTGGAAGGGGAGACACGGATGCTATCCGAGAATTCCAAACAAGGCCCAGCCAAGTCCAAACCACGGATGGAACCAAATGGTACTTCCTCCAGTTCACCAAGCACACGAACCTGACTAGCTGGGAAGAACCAAATCCCTGGCGAGCAGACAAGTGGACTGGCTAGGAGCCCAAACCAACCAGATGCAAGGTAGGCCAAAACCCGAACACCTGGCAGATGCATACGGGCCACCACGACCTGGGAAGACGTGTGAAAACGCGGGGTGCCAGATTCAGCCCAAAGGGAAGGCAACGAGAGCGGTAAACCTGCCGCCCACCACAAAATCTAACCAGTCCCTGAACCCTGGATGAAAGGGGATGTGCCAATACGCATCCCAGAGGTTCAGAGACTATCCAAGAACCCAGCCCCAAAAGAAGCAGGACCTGGGACAGAGTGGTCATCCGAAAGGAGGGACAAGGAATCCAACGGTTCAGACGGGACAAGTCCAGAATGAACCGAAGATCCACACAGTCCTGTTTTGGCACTGGAAACAAGTGAGAAACCCAATTGAGGGACAAAGTCGTTCGACCACACCCAAGTGCATCCACTCCAAGAAGATCCAACGGAGCAAAAGGGAAGAAGCCTGCCCCGATCCTCCTCCCCTCGGAGGATCGGGGCAAGCCGACTAACGCACAGAGCAAACACCGTGCTGACCAGATGAAGACAGCTCTGGAGAAGACACCGGCACAGAAGCTGGCACAAAGATCCCACTTCAACCAACAGAAGCTTGAGCCCTGGCACAATCTTTTCGGGAGGCGCGAGAACGCCCACCCTGGAACACTAACAAATCAGAGAGGACGGCAACTAGCAAAAGCCGCCTGCAAAAACTGAGAAACAACCATGTCCGAAAACAATAATGAACAAAAAGGAAACAAAAACTTAAGAGCCAGGGCCCAGGCCTAATCAAAAGAGAGAGCGAGTGGCCTGCTGACACACAAGGCAAGAGGCAAACAACAGAGATACTGCTTCCCGGAGGATAGGTGCATACAGTTTCAGTAATGCCCTCGACGCCCTAGCAGCTGAGGCCAACACCCCAGACGACGGCCTGACACTCAACGCCTCCACGTCCTCCACAAGCCAGTACAAGGACAGTTTGAGAAGGGAAAAGAAACGCAAGACCGAGGCCAGATGCCCCTCGAGCGTGAAGATCCTCAGCCACCAAGGCACCTGAAAGGGAGGGGATCTGAGCGTGCAACTGGAGCAAGCCAACCTCACAAGGAAGCACAGGGGCATAAAGGCACGCATTCTCAAAAGCACCCCCCACCCCAATTAAACCTGTAACACAGTAGTAAGCTCTTGCCAATCTAGCATGCAGGGATGACAAAAATCGTGCCATGCCCCAAGCGAAAAGAAAGGGCAGTCTGCAAGCCAGGAAGACACTGGAACCTCATAATGCACCCAAAACAGGGAAGAGGAACCAAACTCAAGAGAGACCGGATCCATCAGAGGCAAAATCCGGGTCTCACAGGAGGTTTGTACCAAGTGCCTCCCGAATTTCTGCAGGGAAAATCTGAGAGGTGAAAAACCTCCAGAAGGATGAAGCTGTGGAACCCATAGGAACTCAGAAACAAACCTGATGCAGGGGGGGGGGGGGAGCCGAACCCATATTAAACCCATACAGGGAAGGAGGATACGAAAACCCCAAACCCTGCAACAGCAAACCCCACCCCAAGGGCACCAAAGCCCAGTCAAGATCCAATGGGACCCAAGTGCCACAGGCCAACTCCCCTCCAGCCTCGCAAACCTCAAATCCAGGCTCCTGGGCAGAGCCATCCTTCATGCCTTCCACCCTTGAAGAAAAGGTAGAGTCCAAGGAAAACACATCAAAGAAGGGGGACCTGGTGGTAAGACCCAAAAGCCTCGGTGGGAGAAACAGGAGACCTTCGAAGACCTTCTCTCCCCATTGAATAGGGCAGCCCCCGTGGCTGCCCAAGTCTCATCCAGCTAACTAAACCCAGCTCCGACTCTGAAACCCTCAGACGTTTGGGAGCCGGGCAGCAGAGGGGAAGGAGTAGGACGAACCATGCCCACTGGGAAAGGACTTGAGGGGGTGCGGACTGAACCGAGGCGACCCCCCCCCCCCCCCGAAGTCCGGGTCCTTAAAACCAAAATGGGGCAGCCCCGAGGCATTCAAGTGGGCGACCAACCTAGTGCGCTGCACCAACAAAAACCAAGCATGCAACGAGACCGCCGCTTGACCCCTAATATCTCTCCAAGAAGAATGGGTGAATTAGATGGCGAGCAGGGAACAAGTCTCGCATGACTCTGGGTCGAAGGAAGGAGGCAAAACAGATGATCGTCACCCTGAGACAAGGGCAATGAACAACCCTCAAACTCGCACAAGGCGAGATGGGACTATGAAGATATATCCATAGTCACCCGAGCTCCGACGGGGGTTTTCAGGGCCCGAAGGGAGAGGTGTCCCAATGGGAAGCCCAGACACTGGTGCTGTAAAGCCAGTTGAACCCCGTCTATTTACCGGGCAATACCCATGAAGGGAGCAACCTCAGGGGCCGAGTGGAGGACTACCAAACAGAACCTAGGCATACCTAATGGGAAGCAAGGCAGCCCTCCACCAGGCAGGAAATAACATAAAAGAAATTAAAAGAAACCCCAAAAGTACACCACAACAACAAGAGGCCAGAGAGAGAGACAGCCACTGCTAGTATGCGAGCTGTGCAGCACCATACGCCCCAACCAGCAGCAAACACTCCCTACCCAGGGGCCAAACAAAAGCACCAAAACCCCCCTGCTGACCCCAAGGGCAAGGCTGATGTCAGGCAACAGCAACCCCTATGGGAGTGCGAACCCGAAAACCCCAGGGAAGATAACCCTGTGACCCAAGGGAAGTACTTACAGGGTGCCAAGGGAAGATAACCCTAAGTGCATGCAGCCCGAAGTACTGAAGAAGTAGGTGAGAAGGTGGTGGAGGCCAAGACCGTCAGTAGTTTCAAAGCGTTATATGACAAAGAGTGCTGGGAAGACGGGACACCACGAGCGTAGCTCTCATCCTGTAACTCCACTTAGGTAATTACTGGTACTCCTGGCCAATGCCCCAACACACAGCAGGTACAACCACCAGGGTAAAATCCTGACAGGAAATTGAGGCCAGAGAAGATGTCAGCCCCAGCCAGCTTCAGTCAACGAACTGGTGAGCAGGCGGCCGGTTCATGTAGGCAGGGCCTACCCCTCCCTTCCTTCCACAAACAAGTGGCATGTCGGTCTGATGATGATATGCATATTACCTTGTTCTTACTTTGAAGGAAGTTCTTGGACTCTGTTTGGTCTTGGGTTGCAATTTTTTACTAGTTTGAGTCTGTTTTGGGGCACCTAGTTTTTTGGGTACCGAACCCCGGTCGATGGCAGACATGAATATACTCTCAAAGAGTGGAACTTTCATAGGTCATTGCTCCCTACACCTCTCTGAGGGAACCAGGTTCACTTATCTTTCTGGGTGCCTTCCAGAGTGATGGCAAAAATGATATGCTTTAAATGTAAAATGATCAATAAACTATCACACTCTGTGCCTCTTTGACAGGGCCAGGTTTTGGCTCGTGGTCCCTGGTAGACAAAAAGATCTCCACAGCTGATGACACTACGTAGTACTTAATCAGTGATGATAGCTTCAGAACCCAAAAGGGCTTCCCCACAGAAAATAGAATAATTGAGCTGGCAAGATTATATAGGCTGCATGATTTTATCACACAGAATAGGCATAATTTACATAACCTTACAGAGTTAAAACTAAAGCTTCACCACCACTGTTACGAGTAACATTACCGCCATTTCGTGCAGCATCTAAACACTTTCTTTTCATATCCAAGAGCCTGAAAATCAAAAGTGAGAGATTAATTAAACACAAAGTAAAAAGTTCTATATGTATTTGACACTGACACCATTTTCAACTCAAATCAAATCAAAATCAAATGTTTATTCGGGTAAAATACATACACACAAGGTGAGATACAAACATTGATGGATTTATAGATAGAGCTAGTACAAACAATGCCTAAAGCCACTATTACGCAAAGTCTTTCGGGCAGAAAAACACTAAGACAAACTTAATACTAATTAAGATTAACAATTGAATGGCTCTTGGCTATTTAGCATGGGTCACTCACATGCACATACCAAAAAAAAAAAAAATCATTTTTTCTTCTAAACCTGCTAATTTGTGTTCACTGATCATGGGAAAAATAATAAAAAAAATCGTAAGTGGCATATATTGCCCGCTATAGGGCGGGGAAGTCTGGCAAAAAACAGGCGCTGACTCAGCGTGCGTCCCAGGCGGTCTGTTGCTCGCCAGCTGTCAGGCTGGAGTTGCCACAAAGAAATAATTACCTAATTATTTCAATGTCTCTGATTGATTTTTCATAGTTTTTTTTGCTGTAATATTATTCAATAGTGTGTAGTGTGATAAATTTATATAATAAAATGAGTGAATCATCGCTGTACTCAAAAATATGGTGTGCATATTGTTGATTCAATTATGTTCATCAAGCAGTGAACAAATACTTTGTCGGTTATTACACTATATACACAGGTTATATATAAGTATCTGCATGTTTTGTTCACTATAACGAACCACTAAGTTGCTATTATGAGTCAAAAAGTAACGAGGAGTGACCGCCACACACCAGCCAGCCACCACTTCCACTCACTCCCTCAACACCTCACTCGCCCACATTCTCCTCCCACTATACTGTTTTTGCTATTATTCACTATATACAGACGTTATATATAAGTATCTACATTCGTGTTCACCATAACGAACCACTAAGTTGGCATGCTGAGTGGCAGTGCCAGTGGCAGCCCGCCACTGGCTGCTACTTCCTCCCTCAAGTCACCTGAATCATCCACATTCTCCACCCACAATACTGTTTTTGCTTTTATTCACTATATACAGACACTATATATAAGTATCTACATTCGTGTTCACCATAACGAACCACTAAGTTGGTATGCTGAGTGGCAGTGGCAGCCCGCCACTGGCTGCCACTCCCTCCCTCCCTTACCTCACCTGACTTGCCACCATTCTCCTCCCACCATACTTGTTTGCTTTTATATAGAATCATTATATATAAGTATTTACATGTTTTGTTCACCATAACTGTACATCTAAGCTTGTATGGTGCGTAAAGGCACAAAGACGTAGCTACTCACACAGTCAGATGGTGGCGGCCGCCCTCAAGGGGCCAGATGCACTAATATTTCTCCTCCAACAATACTGTTTGTGGTGCTATTACACTATATACACACATTATATATAAGTATCTACCTGTTTTATACACCATACTTGTACAAGTAAACTGGTATGGTGCCCAAAGACCATAGTGGTCACCAGTAAACAACATGATAAGTCGTGCAGACAACGCCACCTCCCTCACCAAAATGGCAGCTCCCAACCTACTCCTATTGCTGTTTATACCCCCTCTATACACACGTTATATATAAGTATCTACATTTGTGTTCACCATAGCGAACCACTAAGCTGGTATGGTGAGTTCAGACAATAAAAGGTGGCCACACACAGTCAGAAGATGACGCCACAACCCTCCCCTCCCACAGCATTACTACTCCTTCCATGGAGCACAGCACTATATATCACCACAATCCTGCTATTATCAGAACCCTGGTCAGTTTTATCACAGTCAGGGGTCTTCTGTAATAATATCATCGCTACATAATAGCATGAACAAGTATATTATGGCATTTTTTGGTGATGCTGTGGTCACAAGCTGAACAGCAGTGCTGTGAGCTCATGCTGTGTGTCAGGCTTGGTAGCTCACTCAATACTGAGGCCCCTAACACCCAGGAATTTGGCCCATGATTTAAAAAAAAAATGGCGTCTGTTTACAAGAGCCCTGATGAAGGTGTGGAGAACCCCGTGTATCTGCAGGCCGTTTAAATCTTGCGTAGTACTCCAAAGCATCATATGATGCGATGCACAATTTACTGCAAGTCGGTCAGAGCATCATATGATGCGATGCGCAATTTAAGGGTTAAAGTATAAATTGTGTTGCGAAAATAAAAAATAAAAAAAACAGCGTTGAATGTAATGAAATGCCATTTTCTGGGTGAATCTCAGAGGCTCCCTGGAGTTATCCCAGGCATATATGCTAATGTCAGACTTTGGCATCAGTCATGTGTATAGAGTTCTTAGGCATACCAGGGACAACGGCCAGAACCGGACCCCCTCAGAGAGGAAAGGGGAGCAATGGCCTATAGAAACCCCCGTGTGGTTGGTAGCATTCCATGTCTGCCATTGACCGGATCAGGCACCCAAAAAGGTAAGCATCCCAAAACAAACCCCCTATTCTGGTTAAAATTGCTACCAAAAGCCGAACTAGTGGATAGAACTTCCCAACAAAAAACGAGCAAACTAGTATGACATCACACTCCCGCTTTCCCCTCCCTCCCCGGGAGGGGAAAGAGGGAGCCCCAGACCCTTCACGCCGGCTACCCATACCTCAGTTCTGAGGCTGGATGTCAAAAACACAAAAAACCACCGACCGGAGGGAGGGAGGGATGCCAGGGAGCCTCCGGGACTCACCCAGAAAATGGATTTTCATTACATTCAACGCTGGTTTTCTGGGGGGAGCCCTGTCGGCTCCCCGGAGCTAACTACCCACAGACGGAAAAAAGAGGGAAATACCCGGGAGGCGGTCGTCGCTCACTCCTCAACTCGAAGTCAAGACAACTGGGTGCAACCGCCTACCCAAAGCAACACAGGTCCGACGGGGCCCAGGGACGTTCACGAGGTAACGAGCAGCCAGGACCCTGTTCGACCGCCAAAAACCCTGCGCCCGAATATCAAACCAACACATGTTCCCTAAGACGGCAGCAAGAGCCGCGAAAGTACGGACGTCATGGGCACAGGGATAGATCGTAGGCTGGCTGGATTTGATAACCCTGCGGATGACCTGGGAGACCCGAACCCGTGAACAGGGAAGAATGGAAACCGGATCAACCCAAAGCGCGTCCCTGGACACAGAAGCCATGGCGCGCAAATAACGGTGAAGCGCCGCAACCGGATACAAAGTATGATGAACCCCCGGTCGTACCAACCAAGCAACAACCACCCACGGACCCCTCCGGAACACAGCAGTCTCATTCTTTGCCAGAAAAGAAGGAGACGGCTGCAGGCGAACAAAACAATCACCACGACCGAAAGAGCAGAAACCCCTGCGCCGGAGGAGAGCATGAAGCTCCCTGACCCGACCCCCAGAGGCTAATGCCAACAAGAGCCTTGGAGGAACAATCCTGGACCGAAGGGGACATGATGAAACAAGGACACGAAAGGTAAGCGAGCACTCTGTACAAAGACCAGGACGGCTCAGGCGACTCATGAGCAGGCTGGAGGTGAAACAAAGCACGAGACAGCTTGCGAAATGGCACAGACGTAACATCGATACCGAAGGCAAGCTAAAGTGGCTCCGCCAGCATCGCACGATACAAGGCAACAATAAGATGATGGTCCTGAAACAACCAAGAGAGAAAGGACAAGACCACCCTAACCGACAGTGAACTAAAACGATGAAGACACACAAGGACCGCCAGGAAACCTCATACTGCTGCGGAGAAGAAGCCCACAGGTGGGACACCAACAAAGAGGTCACCTGATCACCATAGAGATGATGATAGACTCGAGTAAAAAAAAAAAACATATGCGAAGACTCGAGAAGATCGAACCAGCTACGTGACATACTGGACCGATCTGCTGAAAGAGGCGGAGCCGCGGGAAAACCCTCGGGTTTGGACACCGAGCAAGCAGCGCCTGAAACCACGGCTGGGCCAGCCAACAAGGGGCCAAGAGGACAACTCTCTCCAGTTGGTGAGGGAGGTGACGTCGTAATAGTAGCGTCGTCTGCTGTCTGTTGTGTGATGTGTGATTTCTCATGCAGTGTATGGTGGCCACTGTACTGTTTGGACACAATACTGGCTTACTTGCATAGTTCTAGTAAATAAAACATATAGATAAGTATATATAACATGTGTAAATAGTGTAATAATAACAATAACAGTATAGTGGGAGGAACAATGTTGGCGAGTAAGATGTTGGAGTGAGGGAGGGCCTGTGTGGGTGTGGCTGCTCACACTCGCGATGTTCTGAATGTGTTGATGGTAAATGTATATAGTGTGTGACAGTGTATAGTGTGTACATATGTTGTAAATATACATAAATGAACATGAAACATTGGTGTGAATAACTGTATGATGGGAGGGGCAAAGTTGGCGAATACAATGTTGGAGAAGTGAGGGAGGGCTGGCTGGGTGTGGCAGCTCTCACTCACGGTGTTCTGAATGTGTTGATGGTGAATGTATATAGTGTGTGACAGTGTATAGTCTGTAAATAGATTGCATACATATATACATAAATTAGCATGATACATGGTAAATATGTGCAAAATATGTGTACACAAGTGTCATGCACGTAACACAGTGTCCTTGGACAGTACGGATGTTTTACTGCCATAATATGGTGTACGTTTTCATTATACATAGGATTAGTGCATAAAAACAAATAAAATGTATTTGGAACTGTGCGCAAAAAATGAACAAAAATATATTCGCGGCAACTCGCATGCCCTGCCCCGGGCGCCCCACCGGCCCCGGGAGCTTATGGCACGGGTGCACAGGGAATGATGACGTCACACGCCACCTTATGCAATATCACTTGTGTCAAACTATCGGCCAATTAGCCTAACGTCTATTGTGGGAAAGTTACTTGAATCGATAAATGCAAATAAAATTCGTCTTCATCTTGAAAAACATAAATTAATAATTGAGTCGCAACATGGTTTTATAAATGGCCGTTCATGTTTAA